GGGGCCTCCTCAGCCCAGCCCTCCTGCCCCCATCCCACTCGGTGCTGTTAAGTAGGGGCCCTGCCAGGAACTGACCAACTCACTGAGGAGCCATAGTGTGTGTAAGTTCACAAGCAGGGACAGAGGGGCACAGGGAATGGGGCTGTGCCCAGGTGTTGCCCCCTAACCCCTGGAAGGGTGAGGCAGGGAAGGGACAGTCTCTGAGGTCAGTCCCCAGATGGGTGGTTACCTCCCCCTTCCTCTATCCTAAGCCCTGGGGCCCTCAAATGGGGTAGGAAGGCAGGGGTTGGAGCCCTCCTAGTGGGCTTTGGGGGTTTGGGTTCCTGAATGTACCATAATCGCTGTATGAAATATTAAAAAGTTTAAAGCAAAAAAAAAAAATGCTTAAGGAATTGTGCCTGGATGTGTTTAGATTTCTCCATGTTTATATGCTGTATCTGTTTCTTCCACTTATTGTACCTTACCTTGACCTTATTTATTTCCTATGGCTCTTTCAGATATTTGACCCTATGTAATTGTTGCAGTTACTATTTCAAAATTTAGATGCCTATAGCATTTTATTGATTAGTTTTCTTTTTTGTGGTTATATGACTATGTGAATCAACTCTGTCATGGAAGAAATAAGAGTTGTGTTTGATTTTTTTTTTTAACCAGGACTCTTGGAACGCACATCCTGCAGCATCATGTAGTCAGTCCTATTGCAGCTGTGATAGCTCTCAAGAGCCCATAATCCCTCTACTATAATCAATGAATTCTGTATAAAAGGGCTATATTATAATACTTGGGTTGCATTAGGACTTTATCTCTGAAACTTGATTTTAATATTCATTATAAAAATAAATAGCACTGTTTATTTAACAGTAAGACTATTTAGTTTAGAGACAAGTATTTGCCATGCTAATTCATCTCTAATTTGATACTGTACATAAGTAAGAAAACAATGAGACCAGCAGTTAGTCTAATGGCTATGTCACTGGACTCCCATGTAGTCGACCACGGTTCAAGTCCCAGACCTGGTGGCTTAAAACTCATGCTGAGTGCATGTATGTGCGTGCCCAAGATCCTGAGAAGAGAATGTAGGAGAAGGGATTGCGGTGTGGCCATCCCCCCTGGGGGGTGAGTTCTCATTTTCTGTCTCTCTGTCTCTCTCTGTCTGTCTGGCGAGTGCACGCGCCCTATAGTGAAAACCTCTCCAAAAAAAAGAAAGAAAAGAAAACATTTTATATATATATATATATATATATATATATATAGAGAGAGAGAGAGAGAGAGAGA